TGTGTAAATGCAGAGCTCTTCCATTCAGTGAACAGTAACTGAGTTGTTCTAAAGAGATCACTTCCACCCACAGTACGCTGGACGCACAATCATCTTTTACACTTGAATTCCATCTCCCAGGTTTTCATTTGCCCCTGGTGATGTCACGTCTCGCACCAGACTCCCATGATCCTTCTACCAGCCCGTGGATACTCAGTCAGGTCAACGGGTAAATCAGCATGTTGAGGTCTACGGTCTTTAGCTACCTACAGTCACTCAACATTTGTTGTTGTTTTTATTTGTGATTAGCTTCAGCCCCTGAGTGTGAGCTTCTTCTACAGAACTACAGGCTGCAAAACCAAAGAAATGTACACTGACCACCCGGTCACCAGGGGGGGCTAATCTACGGTTCATCTCTATAAAAACCCTTCTTTGTACCTCGGCCTTTGTAGTCTGTCAGCCAGGCCTCTCATTCATAAAACAATGTGTGAATTAGCATCATTTCAGCCTCATGGTCGAAGGTAATTATGGTTTCAAACAACCCAAATGCCAGAACCGTTTGTTTTTGTTGCCCACAGGCCAGAGCTGGTACTGTCTGGACAATGTGTGTTGACCATGGCTGGAGGGCTGGTGGTTTAACACGTTCAAGAAGCACGTCGCGGGGCAAAATCACGGGGCGGCCTGAAGAAAAACCTGAAATAGCTGAAAGTGGACCTCAGAGCAAATAATGTCTGCGGGCCTCCGTCAACTGTCATGTTTATGCATTGTAAATTGTGCGGAGGAATGCTCTAACATTGTGCGGTGTGTGTATTTCAAGGCTTTGAACGCCGAGCGGTATCTGAATTTCACCCACATGACCGCAGGCTTTTTTTTCTCTCTCCTGCCTTTTGACTGAAATATCATTTAGATTCCAAAGAGGATTAAAAAAGACTTTTAGCTTTTCTGAGGCTGCCCAAAGAATTCCATTTGAAGCCATTTCCAAACTTCTTCACTGCGTTTCAAAACCACTGCTGCTCTGATTCTCACTCTCCTGTGCAGAGGTTGTCTTTGGTGATGTCACTTTTTATTACACACCATGGTCTAAATCCACCGAAGATGTTTTATAATCCACCAATCTGTCAGCATAGCGCAGTAACAACACAGTACTTTATACAAGCATACAGACAAATGAGTTCAACTTCAGGTGGAGGATTAGATCTAATCCTGTCACATGTGTCAGAGTGGAACAGGTGTGAACACACCCAAGCACCGATGAGTACCAGTGCCGAGACGTTTTTGTTGTACCTGGAGCAGTGACTTCAACTGGACTGATTTCTCCTCATTTTGTTTTTTGTTTTGTTTTTTTATTCTACGTTACTCATTATTTCTCAGCCTGTTCTGTGTAAATATCCTTAACAAACCTTTAGCTAACAGTTAGCAGCCTCCCTGAAATGTATACAATATGACTTCCCTTTTTGTGCTAATATTTCTTGTTTGACTAAACAAGAAAAATTAGCTAACTTTTAGTCATATCCAGGGTTATTTTATGTTAGCTTTTGATTTCCCTTTTGAGCAATCACGGAACTATTACCTGGGGTGTTTTGTGTGGCAGGTTCAAATCCCACCTCCAGTAAAAGTGTGGCCTGCTGGTCCAGTATGTCCTGGGGTTAAATTCCTTCCTGGGATTAACAACTGGTCAGTAGTTTTTAGTTGAATGTTTCTCCAGCTAAGACTTTTCTGATCAAACCTTTAACTCTAAACTGACCACAGGTGTGAATGATTCTCACTTGGTTCAAGTCTATGAATAGTTAGGCATTAGAACAGGGGTGCTCAAAGTGAGGGGCGCAAAGCCAACACAGGCAGAGAGCAGGGGCTAACAATTTTTTAATTTTATTTTTTTGTGCCTTGGTGTCAACATTGCACAGATTTGTAAATGTTGTGTTTTAGATTCTCCCGAGTTTTAAATGAACTGATGTAGAATTATTGTATTCCATGTAGAGGCGCCGACTTACAGAATGATTTTGTACACCAATATTTTTGACCTATATCCTCAGTCGCTGACCTAATTCAGTTTCATAATCAGCTGAAAGTATTTCTAGTCTGATCACAGTTTTGTGCTGATCCAGTGCCAAAGGTAGATCAGGAACTCAGGAGGGTTTTTGGCAGTTGGGCAGTTGCAGCACCGGTTATCTCGTCCCCGGAATTATTCTTATTTGTAACGCGCCTCGTTTGATCGGTGGCCTAAATGAAAAACAAAACCCTGGTCTGAAATCCTTTTCATCCAGAGAGCTTTCAAAGAGACCGACTGCAGACGTGGTGAAGCCAGCGGTCATGTGACTGAAGTCACACCCAGTGTGAGAAGCTCAACAGGTTGAGTTAGTGTTTCACACAGGTGAAGTCTCAGACGTGTTTGTCTTTCACCTTGGTAACATGCCCCGATGTCACAACAAAGGGTTTTTCACTTGACTTCTAACTGTTGTTTCATTAAGAGCAGTGTTAAATGATGAGTCTGTCAAGGCAGATGTTTGGGTTACTTTTCAATTTCCCCGTTGTGGGACGAATATATCACATCCTAGTCTTCTGACTTGAAGAAAGTTCTGGACTGTGGCTGCTGAGCTGTACAAATAACTGGACCTTTTCATTTCTTAGGGCCAAACAAAACAGCTTGGCGGTCCACATTTGGCCCTCGGTTCTTAAGTTTGACACATATGGTCCAGAAGGTGGACATTTCCCAGTCTCACCCCAGCCTCGTCCTCTGTCCATATACTCTTTTCTTTTTTTTCGAGGTTGTTTACGGTTATACCTATGCTCTGTGTTATTTTAGTTGTTGACACAGCTCCACAAACAGGCCTAGCATATGTACTACAGAGATCAGAGTCATATTCAGCGGCTCAGTTCAGTCACTGAGTTTTCCTGTGCATTCGTGTAAATACTCCGTATCCAGAGGCTACTGCAGTAGTACTCGCTGCGTAAACAGGGCCTGAATGTCTGAAGTGGAGTTTCCTCTCACTTGTCCACTTCACCTCCCTCCCCCCCCCCCCCCTCCCCCCTTTACAACCTGGAGGTGCAATAGAAGAACAACATAGGGGCAATAATGGAGAGGAGGGCAGGAAGGGAATGTGCAAACAGATCCAGCCTCTCTGAGGTGCTGCTGCCCCACGGGCCATTTTTACAGGGCTCAGCCTCACATGGAATTTGCAGGAAGCTGTCTTTGATGGTGTGGCCCTGCAGCTAAACTGCAAGGACACAAACGTATGTTTTTGTCCCACAACTGGACACGAACAGGCTAAGAAACGGGTGTCATCTTCCACATTGTCGGACGCTGCGGGGCGTCAGGAAGTCTGGGTTTGTTTTCGCTGCTTGTTCTGATCATCTGAGAAGAGAGTGACAGCAGTGAAGACACGTCCAGCGCTTCAAACTCCTGATGGTGATGCAGAAATGTCCCTTTGTCTGAATTAGATGAGTTTCAGCTGCACGACAAGCCGTTCTTTTAGAGCCTGAGGACTCACACTCGTTGAGCTGTGTCCAGTAAATATTTGGTATTATTCAGAGGGCCAGCCAAACTTCCTGCATCTGTTTACTAAAATGGGTTTGACCTTCATCTGTTGTTGATGCATAAATGACTGATGAGGGAAACTTAACTGACTGACTAAAAAGTCCAATTGGAATATGGAGTTAGCCACCTCTGGCAATCACTGGTACTGCACATATAATTTTTTGCATGATTGCTGGAGTTTTAGGGACTGATTTTTATTCTTTTGTTTTCATGACAGAAACAGAAAACTCCAAACATCTGTTTTTCTTTTGTGTGTTTTTCATACACTTCTAGGTAAATCAGCAGTGTGTGTGCCTGGGTTGCAGAGCGAATTGTTGTTGTTTTTGTTTGTTTGACTCCTTGGACAGAGACACAGTGTGAGACATTAAAAACAGCAGGCAAAAAGAAAAATAAAGATTTTTACTGTAAATCCCTAAAATCCCTGCCGTGTCTATGAATGATTGTTTAGTGTTGGGTTTGTGTCAGAGAGCCTCACTGCAGCGCTGGGCTGTCACACATACATCACATGTATGGTTAGTGAGTTAGTTAGTTTATGACTAACTTGTGAGAGGAGGGCGTGATGAAGGACGTCTGCAGACTGGGATCAAAGTACAAACGCTGTTTAAAAGATAAAGACAATAAAATCCAGACTGAGACAAAAAAAAAAATCATCACCGAGACAGGAGACAGAGGAGAAGGACAAATGAAGTAAAAAGTGAAACACAGAAAAATACGGAGTCCAGATAGTGTTGGAGGTCAGATGTTAATCCCTGCAGTAGCAGTGAGCTGCTAGGTGCTCCTCCATAAATCAGCCTTTGGATGAAATACCAGCGGGAGCCAAAGGTCAAAGGAGAAAATTAGCAGCTGTCTTTTCCTCTGCTTTCATGTTAGCCGCAGGGCTAATCGCCAAGTGCACCATCAGCCTCATTTCCACTTTAAAACAAACTCCCCGACAGACTGGGGTGTGTGGGTGTGTGTGTGTGTGTGTGGGGGGGGGGGGGGGGGGTGTTTGCCCACTTACATTTTATGGCACTGGACTTTTTATTCTGGGAGAAAATTCAGTGTGTGCAGCAGTGACCAGCAGTGACCAGCAGTGGCCTTCCTCTCACACATTTGTTCTGATCCTTGTTGATCTTCTGTTTTATTTATGCTCCTTTATTAGACAAAAATGTTCTGACACCAAACATTGTCTGCAGAGTGTTGCAAAAATCCAATTCATAATAATAAAGAAGAAGAATAATGATATATAATATATATATAAATAAATATTATTTTATATTTAACAAACAACAATTCAAATTACTTTTTTGATAGTCTTTGCGCCCTAATAATTAAACTGTAAATCCTAAAATCCATCCATCCATTCCACTGCAGATGAATCAGATTTCACAGTGAACTTCAATTCTTAATCAAATTAGAATAATGCAGTAATATCAATCAATGTTTACCTCAAGTTCTTCTTGTACTTTTCTCTGTTTCACTTTATCTCTCTTTATTTTTTCCTACCACTTGTCAGTGCAGTGAGACTCACACAGCCTCAGTTCTCTGTTTGCCGTCTCCTTTGCCTTTCTGCTGTGCAGTGTGTTTTTGAAACTCGGCCTCCCGCTCTCACCCTCCCTCCCTCGCCGTCTCACCCTCTTCTTCTGCACACCTGCTGAGTAGCTGCACGACATTGGAAACATTCCACAACAGGGTCAAAACACGTTTATCTTTGACTTTTGGATGTGGATTCAGAAACTCTCTCAGGAATAAAGGGACATTACGCAGCTGGTCAGAACCCGGGTCGTGGATCACATCATCTCTGCTGCTGCTGTGTCCACAACTTCCTTTAGTCACAGCAGGTGGGTCCAACGCCGCGTCTTGTAAAAATACCATGACCTCAGAGAATAAAGAGCTTCATCATACGCAGGCTATTTTCAACCCCTTTGTCCTGTATTCACCAGAGAAGAAGAGAACACAGTGAGCTGGTCTGGAGCAGCAACATAAAAGCAAACGTAGGAGTGAGAAAAAGCAGAGCAGGGGATTTTCATCACTAAAAAAAGGTTTCAGGGAAATTTCTGTTGGTTTTAAGGACATTTTTGTCAAACTCCCTTTTATTAAACTCAGCTGTAGCTTCTCAGAACCAACCTGTAGCTTCTCTGACGAGCTGGACATTTGAGCTGTTGGCTTCTTAGTTTTCTTAGTTTTATTCCTCTTAATGTGTTTAACATTTAGTATAAACAGAGAAAGCATTAGGGAGACGTGTCAGAAATGTTAAGATTTGGAGAATGAAGTCTTAAACATATAAGATTAACAAGATGAATGTTTAGATCAGATCAGATTGGATCGGATTGACTGAAATATATTGATTCCACGCTGAGGAAATTGTTGTGTTTTAGTAACACAGAAGTAAAGACTATACTATATATGCCTGTTATAAAAGTTTTAATAAAAAAAAGAGTTGAAGAGAATAACAAGAATAACAATTACGAGACTGAATTCAAAATTGTACAAGGAAAATAGAAGCATTATCAGAATAACAGGTCAAAAATTCAGAAGAAACAAATGTCCAAAAATGTGTTAAAAGTCCTAATTTTTCACATAAACTCACAACTTTATTCTCGTGGGATTTTTCTTTGACTATTTTTTTTCATAAATCTACTACTTTTTTGTAGTAGATTTTTTTGTAGACTTTTCCAGCTTGTTCTTCAGCTCACCGCTGGTGGATGAACGGTGCTCAGGTTTTAACAAAGATAAATTGAAGAGTTTTTGGTTCCTGGTCTCTGTTCCAACCCTGTCAGAATTCCTAGGAAACAATTGTTGTTTGTTGTCTCCTTTCTGGTTGAATGTATGTTCACAGAGACACAAATATAAACTCAGAGTTTTACTGCAGTGCTGTTTATATTTGTGGGTTTTTTTCTTCTTCTTCTTCTTTTCATCTTTAAAACTCTGTGTTTGTTTTCCCCTAAAACAATTGCACAACCCAGTCAAATGACAACTTCCCTTTTTGGGCCGTGAAGTTTTTCCTCATTACATGTTGTTTATACACATGAGTCATTGTGGCTTCGCTCTGAAAATGACAGAAATTCTCCTTTGAAATGTGCCCTGTTTTGTAATTGCAGCTTCTGATTTAGTACGAGATAGTTTGGATGGGGGGGCTGTCAAAGAGTGTGAGGCACAAGTTGAAAAGTCTATGACTCACACCAAAACCACCGGAGTCTACACAAGTACTCATTAAGTTCCCTTCAAAATTCGAGCTATGCTGTTGTTGTTGTCAAGTTTGTAGACTTTGAACCTGCTGTAGGTCCGTGAAGGAAACGGTCCGGACGGACGGAGGAACGGCAGCAGAACGGCCGCAGGTGTGTGTCAGAACCATGTCGAGAACACTGCACACGCATGTGATGTGTGTGAAGAACCATAAGAAAATGACATCATCAACATGAACGTTACATGACATTTTCATGACTTATAACATGAGCACAGATGATTGACAAAGGAAAAGGAAAGGAAAATTACAAAGAAGGAAAACACTTAAATACTTTGTTTCAGATCATTTTCAAGGAACTTTATTTTTATTTACTTCTTGTAAAGTCCCAACTATTAAAAAAAACTATAAGGATGAAGGACATCACTACTTTAGGACTAGAAAAATAATAATAATAAAAAAAGTAACAGTGACAGTTCTTTACTCACACATTAAAGTTCTTAAAAGTTATCTTAAATTTCTTTTCTTTCTGGCTCTGTAATTACTCACCTGGGACTGCTGTCATCACTTGTCTCAGCCAATAAGAGCATTAGGGGCGGGGCTGGGACTGCTGCAGCTCCTACTTGAACAGAAAATCGTCTAGAACATAAAAACACTTTATCCAGGAAGGTTAAGTGAAAACAAAACAAAGTTTGTACAGCAAAGTTGAATAATGAAGTACTTTGAAGAATCACTTTAATGCAGTACTCCAACAAAACACTTCTGGCTTTGTTGACGTTGCTCTTTTGTTCGTACAGCAGTGAAAGTTTAGATTAAAGTGTTCAAAACACCACTTTTGATTTCATTCAGAATTGCTGGTTCAAATCCTGCCCTTGCAGTTGTGTGTTGAGCAAGCAGGTAAAAATGTTCTTGCTCCATAGCTGCTCCAGAGAGCGCCCGCTGCTCCACAGGACAAGTTCTATTATATCTACATTATCCAACAAAAGAGAACAAAATCAGCCAATATAAAAATACTTGTTCAGTCAAATAGAATTTCTACTGTGCTCTGAAGAATCTGGATTACCTTCTACTCGCCACTAGGGGACATCACATACTGCTGTAGCAGACTTTGTTGGTGTTGGTTTTTAGGTGCAGTTTGAATCTTTTCATCTCGTCCTCATCTCTTTTTCATCATTGTTTCCCCAACAACCGTTCACAGTTGAATTTACGACACAGCCTGGTCTCCCGCTGCCGACTCCTCCAGGAGTCAACAGTAGGACTGGACCTGAGATCAAGGAGGATCATTTGTTTACCTTATCAGTGTGTGGATTTACTGCCAGGCCTCAAACCAGACACTGTCAGCTGCTGTCAGTTTGACCCCAGGCTACGATTGGTTCAGGTGTCGTTCAGCTCCTAACACACTCGAATCTGACGGAGAGTCAACGGTTCTTTTCTTTACATTTTACTCACAATTATTGTTTGAGCAGAAACCAGGAAAATGATGAAGTTTCAGAGGAAATACATCACACACACACACACACACACGTTCACATCAATGTTATTTTATTAATGCTATTTTATACTGCATTTACTTCCTTTTCACTCCACTGCTTCCATATACTGTAATATTTTGTTTGTTTATTTTGGCTGTTTATCTGTAGACTTTTAGTAATAAGGTATTGTCAAGTTAGCAGTTACTTTGAGAACCTTCAAGTTCAGAGTATTATTTCCTTTTACTAAGGTTTTAGGTTTTAGAACGACCTGAAGGTAAATAACTCAGACAGATGATACGACTCTAGAAGTTTTACAACTTTTGGAGTTCTGGAATACATGTGTTTATTCTAATAAAATAGGCTTTTCTCTACAACTCCTCAGCAGCATCTGTCTGAGAACAGTCCGTGTGTAGTTGGGTTTGGTTTTTTTTTGTATTTTTTTTTTGTATTTTTGTCAAAAAGTCATGGTTGTCTGATATATGGTATATATTGTTTTGTATTGATTATAAAATGTATTTTTTAATGTTTCTGTTCCAAATGACCTTAAACTCACACACAGACACAGGTAAATATTTTTGTCACTGTGTCACACCTTAGAAAGACCCAACCCGCCCTCTGTTCACACTCTACAGCTCTGCAAACACTGGTTCTCATCAGATCAGGGTTCCAGAGCCCAAACGGATTAGACCAAGTAGAACAGGCTTTGTTTCTTTACATTATTAAACTTTTAAGCCACCAAAAAACAGGATTGTAGAGAAAAAAAGGGGGGGGGGTATTCATCTAAAGTGCACCACCACCACCAATCCCTCTCTCATGTTTCAAAAGATGACTGTTCAATTTGGCTCCCTTCTTTAAAGCCATCTTTAAAGCCGTCCTGACTGTTGTCACCCGTGGTTAATTTAGACTTTAGTCCAAATCTGAAATTAAAGTTTATTTTCTCAAATTGCTCCTTTTAAAGGCACAGCTCCTAATAAGCCATAACAAGCAGCTGAATGGCTGCCTTCTCCTGCTCTTAAGGGTGTTACGCACCATGTCCAACTTCAAAGCCCGTCTTAAGCCCCCACTTTAATTGTATCTTCTTCAGGCCTGTCTGCCCGACTGCCATCTGATTCTGCTGACAACTGCACTCCTTCATGCTCAGTCGTCTATCTCTCATTCCTTCCCTCTTTCTCCATCTGTCATGGCAGATATTACCACCCCCCCACTGCTCCTCTCTCATGTTTCCCCCCTTCCTTTAGCTCTTCTTAAGTCACTCAGCTACAAGTGTCAGCTAAAGCGCAAGCTCTAAATTACTTTCTTTGATGAGCGTTGACATCCAACGCTCACCACTCTGCTCAGGAAAAACAGAGAAATCGTATTTGTGCGTCTTTCCTCTCAGCATCTCTCTTCCTTTCTTCATGTTGCCTTTCTGGCTTTCCAGTCATATTTACAAACGCCTCGACTAAAAACCTTTTAACAGAGCTAGAGTGACACACCAGCAGAAGCTGGTTTAAATAAACCAAGTGTCAAACCAGTCAAGACCAGTGTGGACTGCAGGCAGGCCGGTCCTGAACGTCAACTATCTGTTAGAGAAATAAAACTAAAATACGTAGGTCAAATTCTAATATATCAAGATTACCTGCAATATGAACCAGTGAACCCCCGCCCCCTATTTTTGATTTTTAGTAGCAGAAGTTCAATCCCTGACTCTCATTTGCCCTTGGAGCCTGAAACAAGGGTCCTTACTCACTACCTACCGCCTTTCTAGGTCTCGGGTTTTGTACCGGCAACTTCAGTAAGAAGCCTGATCCTCTAATGACTGGTTTGTGGACTTTTATCTTACTTTACCTCACATCAGGTTTGTCCATGTCAGTTTCTAAATGTGTTCATGATTATTAACTTTTCAGGGTCCTGATTTATTTTATTTTTATTTTGTATTTTTGTGTTTATTTCTTTCTTTTCTGTCTACGCTGACAAACATTCATGCTTCTCCCCATATGTTCTTTAATTTGCCATTGTCCCCCAGATATTCCTCGCTCAGGCTTGAGATAAAGGGATAATCACTTCAAAGGGAGGCTGGGGGGTGTGGTGGGGGGTGACTGTCCCCTCCCTCCCAGCTGAAAGGAGAAGTGGACAATACGCTAATTGAGAGGGAGAACTGATCACAGGGTCTGTTCAAAGGGGAGCCTGGTCACGCCCCCTCCCCCTCCTCCGCCCCCCCAACACACTTAATTTTATTAGTGTTTATAGTGATGCTTCAGACAAAATTATCACTCAAACCCACCGCAGCCTTTGAACTCCAAAATATTGGGTTATTTGCAATTATCCACCCTCTCCTCTCACTTTTTGCTGCTGTGCTATTTGAGGTCATGAGTGTGATTTGAGTGAGTGA